GCATCAACTTACAGTATTGCAGAGCCAGTCGCCGTAGTTGTGTCTGGGATGACTGTAGTGCATGTCCACATTTTTCCCTTGGATGGCCAGACGTTTCTGAAAGAGGAATAGAAATGTTACCCGGTTGTTTGTGGCGTGTGTTGATCTCAACTCAACAGAGCAACCATTTTGGAAGGGGAGAGGAGGGGGGAGGGACCCCCGGAATGTATCCTTTGTTAAAGACAGACGTGATGTATGTGATGTGTAGAAGGATCTTTAAGTGTTTGGGACCCAAGTGCTCGAGGTGAGCAGGAGTAAAGTGTATTACGTGACCCTAAAAGACAAGTCTGACTGCGTTCTGGAAAACCACAGATGAGCTCCCCACAAAAATGTTGGCAAAATGACTATTAAAAAAAAAAAGAAGAAAAAAAATCCCCCATGGATTCAAGTTTTTTTGCATGGGGCTATCCAAGTCTAATCAGTAATGCCAGCGTAAACTGTGTATTAAGAGTACTGTATATTTAAAAAAGGCCTCACGAGTCCAAAGAAATTTGCAGTATAGTACTGGTATTACAATATACTACCTCAAAATACAGTATCATCCAGGGGGAAAAAAAATTCACATAATGGACATAAAAAAAAGTTTCGGCTCAAAGCATTTAGGTTGCCTTTGGGGTAATTTTGCCTCGATCTCCAAGATTAACACTAGACTTGGCGATTGTGAAGCAACCTGATTGGTCTCCATCCATCGGGTAGCATCTTGCAAGTGATAAAAGTCCACGAAGGCGAAACCTCGGCTTATACCTAGAGACAGCATTCAAATATAGACGGGAGGCGTGTTAGTTAAGAGTCCATGGGCATATTATTAAAACTGTTCCACAAACTGCTTCACGACCCAGGCCTTGTTCGGTAAACAACAGGCCAATCCTTATGAGTTTTACCACAGTAAAACGAAAAGGAGGAAGGAAAACATTGCCCAATACCACTGAAACCCTTGCGCACGCCACGCTATGTAACAAACCTGGACCTACTGCTCTTCTTACCTGTACAGGAATCCTAAGGATGACACTTGAAAAGCATCATTTGAGGTTTTTTTTTGTTTTTTTTAAGAACTTATCGAACCATGTTCTGGGTAAATGGGTCTGACTGGAAGCAGATTTGCCCTATGGGTCAAAGGCTAGGGGAAAGTCAAGGTCCGTCACGTATCCTTGTCTCACCTGTCTTCTTTTTCATCAGTCTGACATCGGCAGGCTGGGGACCCTCCAGTTGATCAATGGCAAAACATATCTGCGTGATGCACAAAAGGGTCAGATCATTACAATCCTAAAAGCCTTCCTTCCACACGATTGTCTGCATGCAAGGGGAAGAAGAAAAAAACCCAAAACACACATCTTCCTCTGTGACGTGAGAGGAAAGACCCCATAGCATGATGGTCTTGCTCCTCTTCTCATCTCCTGGTTCTCTTCTGTAATCTTGATCTGGGTAGTCGCCATCAGAGTGATAACCATCTTCCGATCTGTCGCTGTTGCGTCTTTTCCGCTCTCTTGGCTAGAACACATACAAGGGCAGCGCATCAGTTCCACTCGCATCATTCAACAATTGGAATGAGAGACACAGTGAAGCCCCGTTTATCATGGGACATACATGCGTACATAGTTTTACCTAAAACTGGGGGCCCAAAATTTACATCACTGTATCAATTGCATCCCTACATGGTAAACGGTATATATCACCACAAAAAAAAAACAAAAAAAAACAATTAACATAAATAATAATTTAATAACTTAGAATAAATCTTGATTTGACAGGAACAATGCAGTCAAAACAGTAACAAGCTTGCAGCTGATATGATGCATTAAGAAGTTATAGAGACAATGGTCACTCTCAACTCCAGTACCTAGTTGGACATTGAAGTGCAATATAAAATGTAAACTATCCATCAATTCATAAAGGCCAAAGAAACCACACATTTCAATAATCAAATACAGTGTGTGGTTAAAAATAAATATAATGGGGGGAAACAAAGAGGACTACAGTTCCTAACTGAAAAAGTTGACTTCCATAATAACATGGAGATAATCTAATTCAAGTGTTTCTTATTATGCCTTACTTTTTAAATTCATTAGTTGATTTTAACATGCTAATTCAGGGAAACGTGTTTTTCTATTAAAAAAATATTAACTGGGATGTCATATTGTCATTTTAAAGATTAATTCGCGACAGAACTTTTTTGATCTATGATTATTTATTTTTCAAATATATTTTTTATCATTCTTGGATTGCCTCACTCACGCTATCACCAGCGGGTGATTTCTCATTTATCGGTCTTATAAAAATCACAACAACACAAATATAGCCTGGTTACAAGACGCGAGAGGAAGAGCACAGATCTTTCTGCTCCTGTGTGATGAGCACTTCCATTAACACTCCCTTTAGCAGTTTCTCTTTTCTTAAGGGCCATTTTGATAGTTTAGCGCTTTATTTCCATCTTTGGAAAAAGTTCACCATGTATGTTACCATGGGAATGGCTTCCGCATTTATTCAGAAGCGGCCATTTCTGGCATCTGTTTTTGGGTCAATGTATTGTACGTAGGTGGAACGTCCAACTTAATTTCAGCTTTCCGTTTGGCTGTGTATCTTTCTTTATGCTTATTTCTTTTTCTCTGGTCACTTAGTAAGTTGCCTGGTATTTTGCTGTTTAAATCTGCTTACTCTCCACTGTAACGCATTTCCGACCAGACCTATGTGACAAGTGTAGTGTATCACTGTACTGTCATCACCTCTGGACTGTCTCTGGATCCTCGACGATCTCTGTCTCGCTCTCCTTCATTGCGCTCACCGCGTCTCTCATCAGACCAACGGCGATCACGTTCTTGATCCCTTTCTCGTCTGTCGCGCCAATCAGAAGCATCACGGGGCGCGTCAGATCCATACCTGCCGCTCCGTTCAGTCCGACTTATCCTATTCAACAGGCGATTGCAAATACGAGTCAAAAGTATGCCAAAATAACATCCCTGAGAATCAGATTGTTCAATTTATCCAGTTCCACTTATGATGTTCAAATATGACAATTTATTTATGAAATATGGCTGTTCAGCTCTCCATATCAGTGGCGAACAGCGTCAGGCAGAGCAATTCAATGCAAGGACGAAAAGCTCACCAGTGGCAGTACATTGTGATTTCCTAGGAATTTCGTACAAGCGATCATTTGAAAAATCTGAGCAATTGCTATTCCAAAAGTATGTAGAAAACGGGTAGGCCTTCGTATTAATCAGTCTCCCAGAAGCAGCTCTCAGTTTCAATAGTTTGTTGACCACAGACCTAAGAGTGAACTGCTATCATGTAGCTGCAACTCACCTCTTATCTGCTCCCATCTGTCTCGACTGTTTCCACACGACCTCTAGAAAATGAGCATTAAAAAAAGCTGATACAAATGTTCAGAAAAAAAACAACAACTGGACATGCATTCACAAAGGCAAAATGGGGCAACTGAAAGGCTCAAACACGATGGCCGCACAACACAGCTCAAGTGGACTCATCTGAAACTCCGTGATTTCAAACATTTGAAGAAATTTTAACTCTGTGAACTGAAATAAATGAACGGTGCCACAATGACATTTTCAGTGTGCACAAACTCACCAGTGTGGTATTGCAAATACTCCTTAGCTATTTGTATATTTTAGAAATCGTTGAAGCAGCGACGATGAAGCACGTCCCTCATAAAAGAACGACGACGCCTTCTTCTTCCCAAGATGCATCGGGGTTTTCACTGCATCACGTATGTGCAGTGTCACCCGATTTTGCCTTACAGGAGGTTTGGGCGACGGATAAGTCCTCCTCGAAGACATCGTTTATCGTTTATATTTCATTTTCACCTTATACGATTTTATGATGAAGTGATAAGATATAACAAATAATATTCAGGAATACATTACAATTGACATTGTTTACGTGTTTTTTAGAGGAGGCTTAATTAGGGCACATCTTTTTTCAGCTTGGCTTTTAAATAACATATTTATATACTTATTTTATCTTATATATATTTGTGTGTGTGTCTGTATGTACGTGAGTGTATGGATAGATGTAATAAAGTATGTGTGCATGTATTTATTTCTGTATGTGAATTATGTATGTATGTGTGTGTGGTATGTATGTATGTATGTATTTATGTATGTATGTATGTGTTTTGCATTGTACAGCACTTTTGAGTTGCATTTCTATGAATGAAAAGTGCGATATAAATATAGTTTGATTGAGTGATTTACGTGTTCTTATGCCAAGGTCTTTGTGACAAAATCTTTTTATGTTGCTCTCCTACCACTGCCAAGTTGTTACTCTTCACTTCTGTTTGCTGATGCTCAATTCTCTGGAACACCGATGGTATAAAAAGAGGATGATGACTGTTGGCGTTTTAGACATCCCGTGGTATAGTGATTCCCAACCAGTGGCAACAGTACGTGTGGACATCGCGGAGGCTATTTGGAAACATTTAATATTTTATTTCCAAGGTGAAATGTAAATATGCACAGTCATTTCATGAAACCAGTCAATAAAACTTTGTATGTGCCCTACAACTTGTTTACCTGGGGAGACAAGTATGCTGTTCCTGATAATTAAAAATCTTAACTGCCTGTTTAATAGGGAAGTATTCAAATGAGCTCAAGTTTTTTTTCAGGGGGTGGGAGTAAATGTAAAGAGTTTAATACTACTGTATAACTAAGTGGCAGCAGCCTCCAATTAGATCTTGATCAGACCAAATAAAAAGGGAAACTATAATCCAATGCATGCAGAAATAGCCGTCACAAACACTGTCCAAATTTCCTCATGGTTATTTAACACTTTTCATGTTCTATTCACTTAATATTAAAGCATATTTTGGCCGAAGTTCACAGCGGTATGAAACTGCAAAGTATTATACATTAAGCATCTACACAATGGAGGTACAAGGAGGGTTGTATTACAAATTTCAAACAAATTAATGACAAGATCCAATGCCCCCATAATAAATAATTCAAGGTTGGTTTCATTTTCAATTGGGATTTTCTCATATTTTATTACAGCATTTAAATGACATATGAGCAAAGAGTGCACTGTACACACAGTTCTTATTAAAGACCACACAATACTTGGCACAAAAGGATGGTCCCCACTCATCAATTCTGTATTGTATCATCGACATTATGTAAAGTGGTCCAACGTAACTTGTTACCACACAAGTACCAAAGTCCCCAAAATGTTCAAAGCAAAGTTTTTGATGGTTATTTTTTTGTTTCTTAAAAATACCAGGCCCAAGCAACACACACTCAGATGGCCATTTCCTGTATACTACACACACGGTGGTGGCATCATATAAAACAAGCAAAACTAGTGATACATTTTAAACATTAGCATCAAAAAAGGAGGGTGGAATCCATCACGCAAACTCAAAAAAAAGAATAAGTGGGCTCCTGGGAGATGGAAGGATAGCATCGGGATACTGCAATTTTCCATGACGAAGTTTAAGTCAAGGTCTCGCCTTTTGTTACCTGTAAAAACAAATAAATGTGTGAATGTATATCAGTAGTATGGCATATTTAAAAGTTACAAAAAGAATAGCACCAAAAAAAAAAAAAAAAAAAAAAAAAAAAAAAACGCTAAAATTAAATACTCGCGGGCCACACGGTGCACATTGGAACATAATATTCAAGGTTTTGTTTGTTTTGCCATTGGAAAATTATCTTTTTTTTTTAAGGCTTATACAACAGTGTTTACTCTTCGAGGTTATACATGGCTGCCATATTTATTGGAACCTCATAACGTTACAAGCAAACAGCGCAATACACTCTTATATGTACTCATTTGACAATAAAGTTGACTTGAACTTGAACTTATAGCGGTTCAATCTAGTGTAAAGCGCTGGTGCAAAATGGCACACAGCAATGCTGATTTGAGTAACCTACCCTTTTCTGGAACTCAAAAGGTATCCCTCATGTTATATTTATCCCTTTGTTTCTGGCAGTTGAAAGGCTTGTGTTTTAGTGTTCGTCTATGCTTCTATTGTCTATCGTGTCTATTGTGAACAGAGCGGGATGCTAAACAGGTACTAGTTTGTTGATCACTGGTGAGATCGTAAGTGTCAGAAATCCACAAATCTAAGTGTGATGTTTAATGTTCATTTCTCCTTTTCTTTGTCATTTAAATTGTTTTAACGTGGTGGTTTAATATTAATTTCTCCATTTTCTTTGTCATTTAAATTGCTTTAACATGGTGCGCTTAATGTAAAACTATAGTCATCTTCTCAAATGTATAATTTTGTAATCTTTTTGGATGTCTGGAACAGATGACTCAGATTTACATTATTTCCTAGGGGAAATATGACTTCTAATTTTTTACAAGTTGGTTTCACCCAGACTTTTTGGGAAGAGCTGAATCACACAGAGATTCCACTGTACTTGAAATAAAACGAGGACGACTTGGGATCTTAACAACTTTGAAACAACAGGATAAAGGTAACAGTGTGCAAAGCTTGCAGGAAAATGTTTTTGTGTCTAAAAAAGGTGCTGGTCGCAGAGCTCAAAGCTCATATTGACACGGATAAACACCCAAAACACTGTATGGGGAGAGAGTTCAATGAGTGCAAAGTTGACCGAGTTCCGTCATCGTTAGACCCAGGAACACGGGATGGAGAAGAAAACAATTATGAGGATGAAAACTAAAGCCTGTAAAGTGGTGTTTTTTTTGTTCTTTGTTAAATTGTGAGACTACTGTTTTGTTATTGAAGCGGCTCAGATGGATGGAGCTTTTATTTTCTACCCATACATAGCAGGCACAATATGTCGGAAAAAAAAATATTGTCATTGTAATAATGGCACATGCAGCGCAGAATGCAAAAGATGTGCAATAAATTCATATGAAATTGCATGCTTTCATCTAACTTTGACCAATCAGATGCAACCTTAAATGCGCATCGCCATCCAATGGGAGAACTGTATTGAGTGGTCTTAGTAACACTAAAGAACTGTACGTTCATTTTTTTCCTGAATGAAAAAAAATGTTTACTTCGTTAGATGATATACATGTAATTTCTTTATGTACATGTTAAATATGACAATATCATCCATCCATCCATTTTTTAATCCGCTTATCCTTACGAGGGTCGCTGGCGTGCTGGAGCCTATCCCAGCTGTCTACGGGCAGTAGGCGGGCTATACCCTGAACTGGTTGCTAGCCAATCGCAGGACAATATCACTGATATTGTAAAATGTAACACCCATACCGCATGTTGCAAGTTTTTCCAATATAATGCAACCTTACTTCAAAATTATTGGAGTAATAATCTATGAGATCTGTGGGTATCATTTCAGTATCTTGGGGCCGGGCATATACATGACAGCTACTTGTGATTTTGGTGGGATGAAAACATTTTTAAAAGAAAAATAGTACGTCTGACATTAAAGAAAGATAGTATGTCTGAATTTATTTTATATTATTGAATTTATTTCAGGTGAAATCAATCAAGAAAGACGAGGTGGTGTTGCCAATTAAAAAAACGTGGCAAGTCTGCGACTGTTGCTTTCAGCTTCGTGTCGGAATTCTAATATTCACCCAATCACAATTCGTTTTTATTTACCGTGTCGCCCCAATACACCTGTGTAATAAACAGTGCGAGGCACGTGAGCAAGATCGCAAACGCCAACACGTCATACTTACTCTTGCTTCAATGTATTCGATTCTCCTCTCCAAGGCTGTCAACTTCTCATTGAGGGTAGCCAAGCGGGATCGACACGACATGTCTAACAGAGACACATCAAAAACGCATAGTCATCAGCGTATTCTAAAGATATATTCACCACCGCCACCACCACAGTAGACGTCTACACATCATGAACAGACATGTATGGAACGTTCATATTCAGTCTAGATGCCAAACAAAATATGTTGGTAGCTGTGGCGAACCATCGGTACCAACAGGCAAATTGAAAGCACTTATTACCATCAGTTTGGGTTTGCTGTATTGTTTAATGCGAGAATTGTCCAACAAGCAAACTATATCATAATGCTGCAATGCAGCTCGACATCATTGTGCCAGGTGTGAAGAAAACAATATAAACCCACAAGCTAGATGCTATCTGGGAGTGGCTACGGAGGACATCGCCAGCCTGCTAGCCAAACGCCAGAAAACTCGAACCTAAATCATACACCGTAGAAAGAAAATGTTTACCAAAAGAGTTAAGGAAGTCAGTAATTTTCTTGATGCTGCTCGTGATGACTTCGATGTACTCCCGGTTGGCCCAATCTTGGTGAATTTCTCTCTGCACTGGATCTTCCTGGCCGGCCATGTTGGACGAGTCGAGTTTCGCTTTGCGTTAAGCTTGAGTCCAGCTGTGTAAAACCGGAAATGAGCCGGAAGAGTCAACGCAAATTCGAGACAAAAGCTGTTTCAGGGACTTACGTTTAACTGTAAAATACAGCATTAGCTGAGCAAAACGCATTTTTTATCCTAAAAAAGCCATTGTGTTTGATATAGATTTGAATAAAACCAATGAATACTGCACTTTTTTTCGAGTCGTATTCTGCAAGTACTATATCGGAAACTACTATCAAGTATGTTTTGATTGACATTAACAATCAAACTTTCCCATATTCCTGAAAATAAATGCTTCATTGATACTGACAAAAGAGGTTTTAAGAAATAACATTGCGGTAGGCAATAAATTAGTAGAGTGTTGAACGCATCTGCCAGCTCTGAAATTGTGTGTTCAAAAATGAGCTCTGGCCTTCTGGATTTTTCAGGTTATTCCCGTATTTGTTTGTTTGTTTTTTTTTTTTTTGGACACTCCGAAGTCCGACTTCCCAGAGAGTCAGTAATTTAGCTGTCACGTCGTTAAACCGTCTCGCAGCCATTGTTATTCAGGGAGTGGAATTCATTCTTTTTTAAAGGGGATAGGTTATGTACTGTATGTGGAAAGCGGGTCCAGTTTGCGCATTATAAAAAAAAAAAAAAATAGACCAGCCCTCTTTTTGTTGACACGGACACAAGGAAACGCAGCGGTCACAGTGTACCTCGTTTTAACTTTTCGGCTGAATTTCACAATTAAAGTTATTCCTAACGTTAAATGTGTTCAAAATGGAAAATGAGACGTTCATCTGAAAAACTAATTTTCTTTTGGTGGTGCCGTCAACAACCGGGGTGTTTAAAAACTATTACCCCCGCACCCCAATTACTGGCTGTAATGGTACATTCCAGGAAGTTTCTTTCGTTCATTCATCCTGCGACCAGGTGGTTTCATCGCTAAATGCATCACAATTTCAGTCCACATTGGATGAAAGAAAATTCATGCGTTTATCCAATTGTGGCTTTATCCAACACCGTGTCCTAGTTGTGAATACAGGACGATTTTTAAAGCAAGTAAAAGATTATTATCACCGACTGTCATTATTATGATGTCAGAGTGGACGAGTCTGTGTGTGGCTGTTAGCTTGTTCGTCACTATTTCGATATTAGCAGGTTACTTTTTGTACTCCGGACTCTTGTCAGATATCATTATATTAACTGGATCTCCTCCTATAAGAAAGCTGATGTTCGTCTACAAGTTTAAGGAAGGACCTTATAAAAAATGTGCTGAACTGTTTAAAGAGGCTAACAGTATCGGACCTGAGCTCTCTTGTATCGGAATATTTTATGATGATCCCACAAAGGTAAGAAAAACACGCACCAGCTATAATCAATATGAGGCATGTTTGGATTTAGCACTTCACCTCGAAGTGTTGGATTTTGGTGGTTAATATTCAGGTAATACATGAATTCAGTCGATAGATGGCGACATCACATTTCTCCAGTCTCGACAGTATACAGCGACAGAAAGGTACAGTCGGGCAAAAATTTTCATGTAAAGAATTTCAAATAAATAAGCACAATACATTGGAATTCATGCATGACAGAATTGGGATGAAATATACATCTCATCATAATAATGAACTGAACTAACAATTTGGGAATGGGTGACTCATTGTGCTTTTATTTGAGTGTTGCTGAAGTATATCTGGACAAGATGTTTTTAATTTCAGATTTGAACCAAATACTATACATGCTTCCGTTTCGGCCGCTTGGACGTGTAGCAAACCTCATCATAAATTAAGGTCTTTGGGGAGACTACAAACAGTCTTTTCTGGCTTGAGTTTATCATGTGTGGCCTAAACTTGGATTCTCTCCTCTTTCATCTAGAACTGCTTCAAACAACAAAGCGTATGCAGGAAAAGTGGTTAAGATTGCATGACTGTCCGTGTTTCATACATGGCAATTTTCCGCGGATCCGCGGAAATCCGCCGTTTTATTTCTTAAATTGATCATTTTAGTGAATCGTCTAAATCCGTTGAGAAAATTTTAGGGGCGGTCAGGTACCTTATCGTCGAGTTTTCACGAGCTCTCCCGAACAGTCTCTCCGTTTTCCGTTTGTAAACAGCCCTGCGATTGGACGTGTATGAAAGCTTCAACTAATCAGATCACTGAAGGCATTATTTGTTGCGGAAGTCTTAGCTCGATTATAAACGGCCCAGCGATTGGTTAACTACAAGCGATTGGACCAATCAAATTGCATGTAACATATTGTTTTACCTGATTCATGGCGGCCTGTTCGTCTCGCAAATTCATTGTTCTGGGATCGTTTTGAGCGGAATTATGAAATTTTTGACGAAAGATCAGGAGTCTTTAATCCTAGAAATTGACTCAAATGTCAAGAATAAATTCCGATTGGACTGGCTTGACAGAAAAGTCACTGTAAAGGTTAAAATTGGTTCCAAGTTCGACGAAGTTACAGAAGCTCTTGGACAATTTTTGAAGAAACCAGACGTAGCAGGCAAAGCTTATTGTGTGTATTGTAGTGACTTAATTAACTATGGCTCCCGTGGAGCAACGAAATCTGCTCCACTGATGCCCTTCGCCGATAGACAGGTACACTCCGAGGTATATACTTTTTTATTCAAATATACGAGGATGATATTTTCAATTTTATTTGGTATGCATTTGTAGCAACAGCATGATAACATTTATTTGTTTTTATTTGCGTTTTATATTCATATTGATAATTCACGTTTTGTCTTGGATAAGAAAGCACGGTTATGCATAATAAATTGTATGCATAATAAATATTCACTATCACTGTATGAGGTAAGAATCAACAGCTTTTTATCACATTTACACAACACTTTATGAATACAAGTCATGAACAAATCTTAAATATGGCAGGGAATGTGTTTACTTTTTTAGTTTTGATTTTGAGCAACAAATTTGGAGTTACATCTTGGTGCTCACCAGGAATGCATAGGCAAAATTGCACAAATTTTCACTTGAAAGAATAGTGGCGATCTTGGGATTTTTTTCTGTTCAATTTTCAAACTGTGTAAATTTAATACACTTCATCTTCAGCATGTTTAGTGCCACTTTTGTAAGTAACCACGCCCCCGTCCAGGCCACGCCCCTTCGCCATTGCCATCTATGGTGTTTTATGTTATGTGTTTTATTTTATGTGAACTGTTTTGTAAAGTGCTTTGTAACAGCTGCAGCTGTTGTGAAAGCGCTAAATAAATAAAGTGTATTGTATTGCATTGTCAAGAAGTGTCACCTGCTTTTTTTTCAAATTTTAATTGTTCCTCTGGCAGCACACGAGCACAGTGAGCTAGTGGATAGCACATGTGCCTCACCGCTCTGAGGTTTAGGATTCAAATTTCGGATCTGGCTTTCCTGTGTAGAGTTTTCATGTTCTCCAGTGCTTGCATGGGTTTTTTTTTCACAGGAATGTAAAGTAGGTTTCCTGCCACATTCCAAAAGCATTCTGTGTGTGTGTGTGTGTGTGTGTGTGTGTGTGTGTGTGTGTGCGTGTGTGCGATAAGATGGCGACCAGTCCAGGGTGCACCACACTTTTCGCTCAGACTCACCTCACCTATGAGCAATGCGAGTTCTGCAAAGAACTGACCCGGATCTGACTATTTTACACACAACCTCAAGTCATGGTTTGTTTAAAAAATATATAATAATGACACACATCGCAACATAAATTGAAAAAACATGTTAAATATGACACACATTCAACTACTGGTAACAAACCCATATGACAAGGATTGTCATCGTGTTGGGCCCTACTCAGAGAGACAAACACTGTAGAAAATGGATGGCTAGAAATACTTTGATTTTCATTTACCCCAGTTAAACCATTATTGTAATCAAGAATATTAGGAAATTGAAAGCAAGAGACAGTTTTAAACAATGTCAGGTAATTTGTCACTTCCCGTTGCCCCCATCTGAAGCATCTAAATCATCTCTGCTTAATCACTGTGTGTGTGTTGTAAACTGGTAGGCTCTCCTCCACCTAGACCACTACATATAAAATTTTGTGGGGTGGAATTGTTTGAGATGTTTTCCTACCTCCTGTTCATGAGAGCTTATCCAAACATCACTGAAGCTGCGCACAGCAGGCAATAATATTTGTTGGAACTGCTTCTGATACCTAATCCTGGACACGCTCTGCAGTCTTCCAACTCATGTGGTGTGTTTTCCCACCTGTGAATCCACCAGACATACTGTATTTTCCATTTGGCTTAATCCAAACAGAACTTGAAATGTAGAAATGCCTTTATGTTGGAATGCAAAATGACAAGCGTTGAATGACAGACAGGCAAACAGATTCTGAATATTCTCGTGTCAATGAACTGGAAGTTCCATCGTTATGGAAAGATGCACATTCTACAAGATCGCCCAACGGATCATCATGTGTAAAAAGAAAAAGCAAAGCTTAGAAATGTTGAAAAAAATTCTTTAAATAGCCCAAAATGAACCCCAATCTATTACCCAAAATGCACCTGAACAGATTTAATGTAGAATATAGTGGTGCCTTGAGATATGAGTGGAGAGTGATGATTTCAGATATATGGGCGTTTTGACGTATGAGCACGGTTCAGGAACACATTTAACTCCTTTCTCGTGGCGCCACACATACTCGAACCCCTATCCTAACTAGACTGACACTATAGCCGGAAAAAATTGGGGGCCTCTTGCCCTTGTCTTACTGTACCTTAAAAGAAGCTTCGTTAGCAAAAGGGAACTCTGTTGTGAAAGCCACTTTAACGATATCAGATTTAAAATTGCAGCATGTTACTGTAATTGTGATTGCCCATCATTGCCTCCTACATGATCTGAGCGGTCTTTTAATAGTTACGGCACCTTTCAAATAGCTCAGACAAAATCTTCCTTGCCCAATCTTAAATCTTCCTTTCACAAGCCGACAATTAGGATAGCACTCGTTGCTGGCACTGCACGGTGTCTGCCAACTCCTGATTTAAGTTCAAATAATTGGTGTAATGATCTCAGCTCATTAGTGTCCAAGGCGCTGGGTGCTTTCAGTCCTACACAGGAACCCCAGAGAGTGCTCCCAAATAGGAGCGCTCCTATTTGGTGTCTAACCGGGGAGACACTTGCTATTGATGTTTGCGGTGAGAAGATTTTTCAAAAGGTGCAGCTGACAGAGGAGCAGTGTCTGCATGACTACTCTCGTCCCCTGACTTGTTCTTCTCGTGCCCCTTTCTCACGTTTACCATCGTTAATTATTTCCTCTGGGGAAACTAAAAACTTCAGCAAGGACTTGAGTTGTTCCTGTGATGGTTGCCATGGATACTGGGCCAGAGTGTCTCTTTTTTTTTTTTGTTCCCGAAAAAAAGCCATCACATCGTCTGGGCCCCGCTCATGAATTCCTCCTCCCTGACAACTCTTCAATTTCAAGCAGTGTTTCCCTGACCTAATGCGGCCTCTTCTCTGCCCTGTGGCTTACTTCATCCTCGACGAAGGTGTTTACATGCTATCCACGTTCGTATAGGTAGTCAAGGCCAGTGTTTTGACATACATTGTCTTCATTAAAATCGCCGGCGATGAGATGAGACGTTTGAAAGTTTCAGCAACCCGCGTTGAGGTCATAAGATGAGGGAAGCTGAGAAGGACGAGTTGGTTGGAAGATGCGAATTAGTGCAGCCGGTGTCTTTTGTGGAACCTGATGAAATAGTCCACAATCTCACTAACGCTGTGCCTGACAGAAAGTCCATGTGAAAGTACTTGATATGCCAGGGAAACGGTTGCCTTTCCCCTTCTATTGCGTCACTCAACATAAATCATAAAGAACATTTTAATTCAATGCCACTGGGATGCATTGGATTCATAGTCATTTATCCTCGGCCAAATTGTTTTGTGTCATCGTTTTGTTTGAAATGTCCATCCATCCGTTGCGGTCATTTATCTTGTTCAGGGTCACAGCGAAGATAGAGACTGTCCTAGCTGACTTTTAGGACAGAGGCGGGGTACACCCTTGCCTTGATCAGCAGTCAATCAGTCTAAATAATTCTTCACATTGGATGCAATTGAACAGTTATTCTCACCCTTTGGTCCCACACCATACTTAGCAATCCATAGCGTGCCGTGGACAAAGCCATTTATTGTGTTTGTGCTGTGAGGGCGCAAAGACACGCGACACGCCCTTAAAATGAAAAATAATCAATTCAAACAGCATCGTCCAGATGACATCATAAAGCGCATCCCGTATAGCAGAGGGTCTTGGCGGAGTGATTTCAGAGTGTTAACAATCATACACCAATGCGGAAAGCTTCCCTGTTAATTCCTGTTTGGCCGCTACGCGAGTACTGTACTTCCAAATATGAGGACGTTGGCATGCTGCAAGTACAGTGTGGAAAAAGGCGAAGGAAGGCAAATGCGCACTACGTTTTAAAATCACTCTTACTCATGCAATTTTTAGGAATGTCATGGAAAAACAAAAGCAAGAACAAAAAAATGCTCTTTGAACTCTCCCATGGAGAGACCAAAGACATATAAGATGAGTTGTCTATGGCTGTGTGGCAGTTGATCTCTTCTTTGAAGCGTGTTGAGAGTTTCCTTTTGGACAAAAGTCATGAAAATAGGCTTGATAATATTCTCACCATGGACGTTTTGGTGTCTTACCCGATTCAGCTTCGCAACCTAAATGATGTCTTATGTATAAAAGACACTTTCAATGATTAAATCACAATACCATTAAATAGCTGATATTAGGTTTGTACTTAAAACCCAATCGGGCATCACTGTTCTGTCACATGAGCCCCCACTGTTGTCTTTTTTTCACCGGTAGCAGTCGCGGTTGTAGCAAAATTGCCACAGCGTAGGTGCAGTAAATGCAGAGGCAAAACAAGAGCCGATTGCTTTTTTTTCTGGATTCTCTACATGCAGTCCTGCGGTTATCGATAAACCCAGTTGGCTGAGAGTTCCCACTTGTGAACTCCCGAAAGATCCATCCGTGATGTCAAGAGTGTGCAAGGTTGGATCATTCGTGAGCAGAATATGGAACACATTGAAACGACCAGTCTCAATATTCCAGTCTGTTTTTGACACATTATTTCTCCTGCGTCCTGTGACATGGAATCGCTCACATTGATTTGGAACAATGATTAGATTTTTTTTTTTCGTAATTGCGTCTATGATCCGCCCTGATTCAGTTGAGATTTAGTGAACGCACCTAAAGTGCTTACAGCTCCTCGTTCACACTTTTTTCCGTTTGGATGTTTACTGATTAAGTGATACTGTACTGTATATTATTCAGGTGCATTTTCAGAGGTCAGCACAGCCAAAAATCCAGTGGACAGTCCAAAGTTGTACACAATTTGTTGTCTGACCCTGGTTGACTTCCAATTCCCAAACGCTTTCCACTCCATACGGTTACACTGTCAAGTGAATTGATTTGTTCAAGGCTTGGTACCCTTTTGTGAAAAAACAACCCACAAACAAAAAAAAATAGTATTTCTGGACCGATATCTGTGTGATAAAAGTACAAATTTTGTCAAACTTATTTTCCCAGGAAAACTTTGGTTGAATTCCAAATTGTACGACTTGACTCCTCGAGGTTCCACTGCCTACTAGAATTTCTGCTGAGTGCCAGCCCACATGGGGCAAGAGGATTGACCGAACAACCAAATTTGATTAAAAACAAAAACTCAAAATGAAATCTCTACCTCAAATCTTTGCTGTGATCAGTCACAGCTAATATGTTAATAATAATACATTTTATTTATAAGCGCCTTTCAAAATACTATTGCGGAATGTTTGGAGGGCAACGCCAGGGGACAAAAATAATACCTGCACGACAAACACATTTTGTTTAACATACCAAAAACAGTCATTATCCTGTAATTTGGTTCCTTATTTTGATGATCGCTAGCATAATTGATTCCAAAACTATTTCACAGCTGCTGCCCTAAAACCATCCGTGTTCTCTGTTCTGTCAAATGAGCACCATTTATGCCGAATTGCATGTCAGCGCAAAAGGTACAAAACCTTTTGTTCTCGGCAGCAGTGTTGAGCCGGACGAAAAGTTTGCATTATGACAGCGCAAGAAGAACATCAACGCGATAGGTTCCCTGCACAAATCCCTCTACCTTAAGTGTTCTCTGCTTCCAATGGCACTCGGCATGCTTGGATGTCCCAAGAGAATTCATTTGTATAGAGCGTTGCCCCCCCCTCCATCCTCCTCTATTTAATTGGCATCGGGCTCCTCTGAAGGCCCAGAATGCCAAATCCGTGTGCGTTTTCTCTCGAAATTTGTCACCTGGCTGACGATACAAAAAATATTTATATAGTCAGCGACTCAACCCCTCAAAATAGATGCTTGCCTGTGCATATGTTCTGTTTTTACTAATCCCCCTTTTCCGACGATGTTTATTTCATTCAAAGGTGCCCGGACCGCAGTGCCGCTGCGCTGTGGGCAGCATTGTGAGCGAGGGGGAGGACAAGGCCGACAAGGAGCTTCTGAAGCGCTACGAGACAGCTGGCTTTAAAGTGTTCTCTTTCCCTGAAGTCACACACGTGGTCACTACCTCATTCCCCCACAGGACCGTTTTCTCGATTCCCCTGGGAGTAAAACGGGTCTATCCACGGCTAGAAAGCTACATCAAGGTATTTTGTTTTTTTTGTTTTAGTTTTTTTTTTTTTTTTTTTGTGCACCCCTCCGTAACACAATCTGCCTTCTATCGCCTTACAAATACTGTATTGCTGGAACCTCAGGTTTACACGTAGAAATGTGATCCCGAATATGACTGTGAGGTTGGAAAAAAGGCCCTCTAAGAAACAGGACACACCTATTTAGTTTGGATGGAGAAAATATTTGAAGCATTGTCAAACATGTGTTAAAGTGGAATGTGTATTTATTGAGATTGGAAAGTTACCATTGCATCACACTCATCAAAATTTACAATCCGATTCCTGATCCTTGTGCCACTTTCTAGGGTCTGCTCCACTTGGATCACAATGGAAAATTCCTGTAAATTAAGAAAAAATGTCTAGGGTAAAGAATCATGTTGGGCTTAACTGCAGCGTTAACTCTACAATCACCTGGCTGATTTCTGAACATCAGAAATTTCTACCACTAAACCCTCAATACATACAACATGGCCCTTATGTCCAAACTGCAAGAATTTTGCCTTCTGGTCTTTGGAGTAAACAAAATAGAGCATCAGAGTGCAGCTGGATGTTTGTTGGGATTCAATCAAGGACTGCCACTCCTTCATATTTAGCTTGAAATGTTTGGACCAAAAAAAAACAAAAAACAAACTAGTGTGTGCAATGTACGCCGCATCATCTCATTGAATTCAATTTGTTTCCATCGAACAGTTCTGGGTTGAGTATCCTTATAGTAATGTCTACAATGATTTAAAAAATTCTAGCGTTTCAGTTCGGAATAAAATAGGCCTTCGGGCTTTGATTTTCGCTCTGAAGCAACTGCATTTCCAAATACTGTATTGTAAAACTATATTCCTTCACTTCCTGGCAGGCGGAGATTTGACAAAACACACACACACACACACACACACACACACGCACACACACAAACAATCACAGGCTCATTTTAGCGGTGGAGACAAAAGAAATGAAACAAGAGGGTGTGTGTGGGTGACAAAATGAATCATTGCTTGGGGTGAAGTCAAACCGAGGAAATTAAGCCCTCAGTATGTAACCTCATGAAGTTTCTGTAGTTTTAATATTCTTTTTCACGTTTCCCAGAATGCTCAGAAGTTGTGAAGGCATTATTTGGGTAGCGCAGCAAGCTGATTTATTGTCCCATATGCGTGGAGTCAACTGGAGGGCAAAAGAGAGGAAAGGAAAGTCACCGTTCTTTTTAGCACCGGACGATGAAGGGCCTTACTTGGTGCTGCTTGAGGGATGCCGTGTAAATGAGTCACTGGCATGCGCTGATTTGTGTGGTGAATCCGGCGATTGTTTAATTATGCAGCAGGCTCAAAACAGGTGGCAGCACCACAGGTTGTCTTCAGTTGCGCTGCTTCTGTCGGAGGAATGTTGGCCCGCGTCCTGTCTGGCTACCGCCGCCATCTGTTCGGACACTGCCTAAAGCTGGCTGCCCTCCAGCGGCACTTAGACAAGTCGAAGAAGTCGACGTACACAGCCAATGATCTAACCGGCCGTCGGTCTTCTTCTTCACCTAAATGCATCACATTTTTTATCTGTGCTTCCCCTCGCATAGCTCAGCTGTCTGTTTTAGTCCATCCTATCCACCTGTCCCCCCCATGAGATTTTGTGCGTGACTCATGCAATAGCGGTACTGTAGTTGCCCAGGATTGCTCCACTGGTATTGTTCCATACAGTCGGAACTCGAACACAACCTGTGAAGTAGTCAGATTAAAATTTTGTTTGTTTGTTTAAAAAATATATTTTTTCATATATGACATTATAGAAATTCTGTACAGACTGTAGCTTCAACGTCACTTCCGGTCCGCGGCTGACAATGATTTCACCCATCATTTCAACAGGAGGGCGTAAACCAGGGGTGCCCAAACTTTTTTGACCGGAGATCTACTTTTCGATCAACCAACCTCCCGCGATCGACCCGTTACTGCGCACGCGCGCATACGCACGCACGCATGCCATGATGAGCAATAGCCTGACGCTGAGGGATACGACACACTTAGGCAGCCTGTTAACGATCGTAGCTCACCAGTACCGTTTTAAAATGCTTCTCTCGGCCCTGCAGATTCCCATTCTTTGCCCGTCCCCTCTGTGAATTGTACAAAACAAACTCTAAATGAGAATAATGGTAACGATAAAAGATATAGCGCAACAACCCTGATCACAAGCTGCAACTGTAGACTGCTGAGCGCTAACAACTTGCAGTCATACGTCACCGTAGATTAAAGATCACCTGCTTTCTTTTCTTTTTTAAATACTTTTTGTCAAAGTGAGACTGATAGAATGATTAGGGTGCAGTGTGCATTAACACAAAAAATACATTACTAACATGCACAGAGACACCCCTCGGATCGACTTGGGACCAGTCCTTGATCTCCTGTTCGATCGCGATCGATGTAATGGGCACCCCTGGCGTAGACTTTTTATGTTCATTGTAGCCTTTCGCCATTCCAAAAACCCAAACTTTAAGAAACGCTTGACAGTCTTCCCCTAGAGCTGCAGATCTTCCTTTGAACTATATTGAATAACACTGTCCATTCTGAGCTGGTTCCCCGTGAATAAAGCATGCAGTTGACGTCTGACACATTGAATATCCCAAATGGTGAGACCTTTTCAAAGCAGCTCATCAGCATTTAGCAAATCTGGCTCGCCGCGGCAGGATGATTTCTCGCGGTCAGACACCTTTGTTTTGCCACCCTGTGGTCAGGCCTGATATTTGCCTAGTCAGACCATCGATCAGCCCCCGAGTCTTTCTTCTGTGCCTTACCCCTCAAGTGTTGAGCTTCATCACAGATGCGGCAGCGTCTTGAGATTCTATTGGTGCGCAGTGGCCCGGGCCTTCGGACCTGCAGTGAGGACTGGAACGGGAAGATAATATTGCTGACATTCACAGAGATGTGAAGGTTCGAGAAAGGCAGACTATGGAACATTTGTTTGCTTGAGGGCACGAAAGCTGATTGCCAGCACTGAGCCTCTGTGCTGAATATAAAGCATTTTTACCTTTGTTCCTCAATAACGTCCTTATTTTTAGCAACCGACACATATGGCAACATGCTCATGAGGCCTCGCAAAGTGCTGCCTCTTGCAATTTTGTGTTCGTCTTGCCACTATGGAGGACCTTGCAAACCAGGGTGCATCTGCTTGTCCTCGGGGCGTATGAAACATGCAGACATTTGGCTATGATGTAAATTCAGAAAGGTCAAAGAAGGTCACGGGGTTTGGTACTCTGGACAAAGACATGGAGGCAGAGTTGTATGCTGGGAGATGATAATGTCCACACAAACACGAGCACCATTAGTCAAGACTGACGATCAATCTGCACAATTGACAATTAATTTTTTTTCACCTATCTGACTGTATTTCGAACCACTTTTAAATAACCTTTTTTCCCAATGTTTTCAATTATTTTGCCGTTTCTCCACTTTATTTATTTTTAATTACTTGTAATTCAATGTACCGTAATCAAATTTCAAGCCACAAAACCAAGTTAGTGTTCTCTCTTTGATGGAGAATGTTGCATCAGGAGCCTGCGAGCGAACACTTCCCAGTGGGGGCTCAACAGAGTTTGCCCCTTCAAACATGACTTTCATCTCCAGGCGTCTGGTACTCTACTGTTGGTGTTAAATGTCACATCTGCATTTGATTGATCCGATTCAAACTTGACCCTGTCGCTCTGAATCAAGATCATGCTGCCAAGTGTGATTGCGAGTTAAGAAGGTGACTTGTTTCTAGATGGTTTCGTGCTGCCGGCGATCTAATCAATCAAGTTAAATGTGTGTTCAAAGCTCTTTTAAAGCTGCCTCCATTTATACTATTTGACTGCTGTCTTAGATGTGATATTGTGTGTTGCCACTAGCGAGATTTACATTAGATTTAGGTTTGCTCTGTATGTAGACAGTTATCTTGTTCATATGCCTATCCCACCTGATTTTTAGATTGGTCTCGGCCAATCGCAGGGCACACAGAGACAACCGTCCGCACTCCCATTCCCATCCAATGATGATTTGGAGTCTTCAGTGAAACTAATGTGAATGTTCTTGGCAAATAGGAGGAAGCAATCATGGAAGCTACAATGGGAAAACCAACGCAAGCCTGGGGAAAAGCAAGAAGCAATGCAAACTGCACGCACGAAGGCCGGATTTGAACGGCCAACCTCCAAACGGCAGGCGGATGAACCAAGCACTGCCCCCGCTGTGGTGCCCTCAAGGGATTTCGTGAATAGCAATCGAGGAGGCCATCTTAAACC